TGAGAAGTGTAAGCAAAAGAAGTACACCCCCCGGTTGGAGTGGTATGAACCAACCCGGGGTCAGAGGTGAATTAGAGGTGAATCTCCACATGGTGTACACTGTACACTGACAATGAGGATGACATTCATTGAGTATTATAGAGACAACTTCCCACATCATTCCATCTCCAGTCTTTTTGTTGAGTCTGCTTAATGCGAGAAATTCTACACTAGTCCTGAAATCAGTTAAGTAAATTATACTCTATTCTTGAAGATGAATTCCTGGTTGTATTTACTTGTACACAATAGTATATTGTATCTATCTTATCTTGTCTTCAATAACAATATAATGTAATATCTAATCTTATCTATGATTCATCTTAACCCAGTGAACTTGAATCTTAGTGCAGTACTTCCATGTAAATTTAGAAGTGATCAACCAGCAGTCACAAATGTTCAAAACTTAAACACTTTAGTTTTCCCAATGAACAAAGTCTTGCACGCTGCACAACTTGTAATGCACTGAGTTGTAAGTCAATCAGTCTCATATTGCTGCAACCATGATGGTGGCCTACGGACCCTTGACTCTTGTACCCGTGCTTTCTTCCTTGGATTTGTAGATCCTGGAGTCCTTGAACTCCTTGTTCACTGAGGTAACATCAGGCTGCAGCGTGTCTTCATGGACTGGATGACCATCTGGTTGTACATTGGAGTGGGATTCTGAGCTACCAAGGATGAATTTTTGCACTGGAAGGGGGCCATGATTGATGGCTTGAAAGACATAGTCAGAAAAGAAATCAACCAACTTCTTCTCAAGCTCTGCCCAGTACACAGGGTCAAAGTCAACGTTAACAACAGCATAACTGTGCTCTGTCCATACAATGAAGTGACACTCTTTTTGCTGAGTTACAGCCATTGCCATCTGCACTTGACAAAAGTAGCCACGTTTTGTTCTAGACAAAGCAAAGTCGCCTTGTCCTGTTGCAGGTAATCAATCTTTCCTGTTCTTACTGCCTCCTCAACTGTCATGTCTCGTGCAGTGAAGGGGCATTTGATTTCTATTGTTCTTGATGAGTGGCATGAGCACTTTGCTATTCCATCTGGACTTGCTCGCAAGAAAGGTTTTTCTGGATGCACAACTAGTCCAGTTTCATCGATGTTGAAATCCTGATGCTGTTTTACCATTTCATTGAAATACTGTGTGCGTGCAACTTTTTCTTTCTCTGTGCCGTATCTGAGTGACTCAACTTTTGTCTCAGGTGGCTTGGTTAGTAAGATGCAGTCTGCATGAAGGCAACCGTTGGCCAAACGATTTTTAGAGGCTCTACTGTGAGGTAGGTATGACTGGGAAATGTCAAATGCAACAGAAGAAGTAATGGCCCCCATTCTTTGCTTGTACCACTGCACATTTTTCGATTGTCCCCTTGTTGCCTGCTCGACCAGGTGGCACTCTTGATCAGTAAAACGGAAGTCCTCAATGTTATTTTTGTCTCTTACTTGTGGATGCAAAGCAACAGGCAACGGAGGCAAAGGGGGCCCAGTTGAGACTTCACAAAATGCTGCAGGAGCTAATGAAGCATCTAACTCACAGACCTTGTCAGGCAGGGCAGCCGGACCTTTGGAACCTTTGATGGGACCGAACCTTGAAGCATGGAGTGCATTTACAGCTGGAAGGATTATCCCAAGGGGGGAGAGTAGCATCTATTAAATCCCCTCGAAGTTGCAACACCTCATCTTTTATCGGTGGTGGTACAGAATTTGCGAAAAGTAGCCCGTCGTCAGTTGAAGTTCTTCTCATTCTGCATTTTTCTTCTGGCTTGAGCTGAATGCTGTCAATTGTCTTCGGCTTGACTGCAGCTCCTGTTTATTTAAAAAGTTCTATTAATATGTTACACTTGACAAATTCACTCATCATCATCATCATGGTGTAACTTGAGTAAGAAGCAAAACATTCCTATATATCAAGAAGGCATTGCGTGGCCCTTCAAGCATGAGATCACCTGCTCTTCAGAAGAAAACTACATGTAGTCAGTTTCATGACCCCATCTCTGATGATAGACACACTTGACAAAGGTAAAATCATTTAACTTTACTAGAACAAATGTATCTTGTTGTAGAGCCAACAAATTAATATACTGTACAAGTCACACAGTACAGTCATCATCACCAATTACCTTTAGGATTTCCCCCCGTAGCATGGCACATCTGTGCAAGTTGCATCAGGTGGTAGTGCCGAACCCACTGATGAGATGACGTCAGCAACTGTAAACAGCAAAGCCCCAATATGACCGCATGACTGGGATTGACTGCAAATATGAATAAATGATAGATTGTCATAATGATGTCTGCATATTGTGTGCATTATAAGTACAGCAAACATTTATTTGGTTGGTATATCTCTGCTTCTCCCAACCTGACTTTGTTATATCGTATTATAGTGTTAGTGCACAGACAGCCTGGATAACAAATTACATGTAAATGATTTGGGCCATACCAATAAAAGAAAGAAAGACTTAAAAAAACACTGAGTGCATCAATAAACATATCACTGTTATCAGGTCTAAACCTTGTACAAAAAGGCAAAGCAAAGCAAACTCAATCCAACATGTCCAATAATCAGTTCAGCGGAAAAACAACAACAAAAATTTAATTTTAGTATTCATCACTGCCAAGGTGTAGCTGTAAGATTTGTTTTGCTCTATGCAACTTACACATGTTTTTTTTTCTGTTGCTATATGTGAACAGATTGTCAATGGTTGCTGCTTAACATTCATTCATAAAGCAACTGAAAAAAAATGTGTAAGTTGCATAGAGAAGCAAACCTTAAAGTTACACCTTTGGAGTGATGAATACTAAATTCTCAATATGTGACTTACCCAGCAGTGCATGAGCAGAAGCCCCCTGCAGGGGTGCCTCTTTCTTTTTCAAGAACACAAAACAGTGACTTCACATCGTCTTCGTTTGTCGACTGGGAAAGGTTGCATCTTCCCTTAATCACGCAGAGGTGTACTGATGATGGTAACTCGTTAAACTTCACTGAATGAATCATGTGCTTTAGTTGGTATGACCTTGTCAGTTTATACTTCCTCGCCATTTCAGGAGTGATGCAGCTGGTGTCTAGGAGGTAGCCCTTTACTTTTGCGTCGTCGATCTCTGGACACCTGCACAACACAGGTTGATATTGCATGCTGTTTATCCATGGAAATTTCCTAAACCATGTTTAAAAATCATTAATGTTTCCAAATGGTTTCTTTTCCACTATCATATACATTTATGACTATGACACTATTCAGCTAGTACATGTATGTATGCTAATGATGTAATTGAGTAAATGATTGATATTAATCTTAAAAAGAACTCACTTGTGAAGCTGTTTAGTGAACCCCGTCAGTCTCGAGGCCCACGCAAATGTCATCTTCCCAAGTTCCTGCAACACGTCTGGCTCCAACCCGTGCTGTTTTCTCCTCGGCTCTGCCTTCTCTCGCACTCCTTTCCCCGTCGTGGAAATACCCAGCAATTCACATACCAAGACTTGCAAGGCTGCTTTACCATGGTCTAAATCTACGATGTTCTTCTGTCGACACACGCCCTTGAGTTGTTTTTTGGATAAGGATACGACGTCGTTGTAACTGAACAACTTGCGCTGCAATAAAGTACACAATATTATTAATGCTAAAATTATATTTTTGTCGGTGGGGAGGGCTTGTTTTGGTTGGATATGGCCACTTATATTCGGCCCTAAACATTAGTAAGGAACGCACAGACTTAACTCCGTCCACAATTCAGTTTCAGTGCTCAGTCCTTGTATATAATGTTCTTGGTTTCATAAGCACAGGGGAGTAAAAAGCAGGAGGCGATTTTTCGCCAGCCGCTTGCCGTAGGTGTTAACTGGCAACCGGCCTTTTTCGCCGGCAGGGGGCTACGTTGGATATCGGCATTAGTTTCGGTCCTAAACATAAGAAACCACACAGATTTTACTCCCTCCGACATATTCAGTTTAATTAACGGAGGAAAGCTTCACATGAGTACGAACCTGCGATGTACTGCTGCTGGTGCCGGCCGGCGAAAACTTGCAGACGACGTTTCCCGGTACGGACGCCATTGTTGTTTGTTTACCTCTCCAGCGCGCGTTGCATTATGGGATTACGTAATGGGGCGAATACTCCAAGTTGACAATCATTATGTATTCCAATTTGCGCTAAATTATTATCGTTACAATCTGTCACAAATTCCATTTCCCGTAGCTGAAAAATTTATTGTAAACAATTTAGCGTGTTTACTGCCTGTAATACACAAACTTGCTATTTCCCGCGCGGGAACGTTGGCAACCTGATCTCGACCGCATCACGATGTCAAGGGTTCATTTTTTCCGCGAAATAAAGTAGTCCGTTTCATAATTTTAGGAGCTGACTTGCCTTACAAGAAAGCTTATCGTTGACGTCTGCAACCAACAGCTATCTAAAACTTTAATGTGTTCATGAACTTGATAGAAACATGATTTGCCTTTGTCCGGTCACAGTTTTAATTCTTGCAATCAGAAAACACATCGAAGAAATTTCCGATTTCTTTACTTTTGATAATGTCCTACGCAATGGCGGGAACGATGGTAACCGGATACCCCAAGCATCGCTTTTTTTAGTGAACAACACCACCGTGTCAGTACCACAGTGTCAGTGATGATGATTGGCATATATGGGGTGCGCCTAATATTTTTAAACAAAATTATTAATACACAGCACAGTAAGTATGGGTTGACCCAGGTAGCTAAAACAAATTATGCATTTTGAATATGGTTGCTACATGTAAGAAAGATTCAAAACAGACTGTTTTGAAAAGTACTACTAAATTCTGGGTAAATAGAGCATGATTTTATCAAATTTAACCAATAAGCATGCCACGTTAAATTATTAATAGTTTCCCGCCGTTGAAAGCCTTTGGTCGTCCGGGCGACTCTTAAACATAGAAAACGGATGAGCATTTTACACGTGTTGGATTCCTTTTGTTAGTTAGGGATATCCCAGTTTCTCAATTTTTGAGGTAGTATCGCACCAGCACTTTGCATACATGCTGTTTGGTCGCGTAACCTTTACACTGCAGTAGCCCAGTCTGTAGTCCGCGGCACAGCCAAGCCAGTAGCCATCGTTGCGGAAGGTCTTAGAGTCCTTTTGTTTGTCGGGGGAAACGTCAATCTAGTTTCTCGTTTCAAGTTAATCAAGTTAATATCGACCCTACTCCCTTACATGCATGCTTTTTTTTGTCTTGTAAACATGAAGAGCATGCGTTGGTGAAGGTTACTTATCCAGGGTAGTAATAACAATAAGAAAGTAGTTTAGTCCTCTCAAACAGCTCAGGATGAATTTGTAATCAGTAGACGTCCGACACCTTTCATCAGTACTAGTGAATGTTTACAAAGGAAGAGCATGGTGTACCTTGTCAATCCTTACGTTGTCAAGTTTCAAGTTTATTTATTTAACCAGGATATACGTAACTCAGATCTACCGATCTGCTTTTCAGTTATTCCTGGGAACTCAAACCAAGGTACATTTAATAATACAGTATATCACAGAGAAAAAAAATCACAATGACGTTACATTACATCACAATCAATTACATATAAATCACAGTGTGCACTGCTACAGTTACAGTCACATTCAGTAAACCGGTCCCTTCACAGTCTGGTTTTGAACACAGACGTTGATGTTATTTGCCGTTTGTCAACAGCTAGTCTGTTCCACACTAGTGGCCCTTGATATTGCAAACTCCCTTTGAATGTTTCCAGGTTTGCCTTTGGAGTGTCCAGCATGTAAGGGTCGAAACTGAGGAGCTGTTTCATGGCAGTGCGTGTGCGAACTCTGAACACTGGGGGTGATAGCCATTTAAACATATTTGTCATGTAGGCAGGAGCTTTGTGGCGAACTGCCTTCTGTACAGCTACTAGCGTACTCACTTTTACCCTATCAGCCAGTGGTACCAAACCAGCCTCAGCTAGCAGGGTTTCTGTAGGAACACGATCTTTGAGTGTTCGCCCTGTGATAATCCTGGCTGCACGATTTAACAATCTAGACAATTGCAGTGTCTTTGATTTGTTACAGTGTAAAAGTGTCAAAGGGTTCTATCTCCTGTGTATCCTTTATATAGACTGAAAAAGTATATATTGTAGCTCTACATCAATCATCTAATACATCTTGGTATAAATAGCTAGACTGAGATTAAGTGCAAGGTGTTCTGTCTGTCTGCAGCTTTCCTGGAAAATGCATTTTGATCAATCTGCCCTGCTCACCTTCCTTGCATTAGTCAGTAAGGCTTTTGGTTGTCTGTCCAGCGCATTCCTTCTCCATGATGGAAGCCATCCCTCGGGAAAAGTGAGAATCACCATTTGTCTACCTCATCGTAGAACTTAGAGGGGGCTGAAAAATAGTTGCAGGCATAACAAACTATAGTAATCAGCTGATGTAATCAGCTCTGTCCTCCTTTCCCTCTTGGCAGAGAATGTTACAAACTTGGGGCACTGTACTTGTCTTTTGTCCTGTGCCCCTGAGCAAGCTCGGACAGCTTTCCTTCCCTTCCCTTCCAGGTCCCGTACTATTGTGCAGTGTTTACACCCTTTTCTTCTACTTGGTGCTTGGTTGCCGCAACAGGGTAAGTCTCCGGGATTCGCTTACTACCTCAACTTCTTTGAGGCAGGGTCTCGGCGGCGGCGGGGTCATCCGGTAGAATCGTGAATTGGAGGCTGTGTCGTCCTCTAGCAGGGTCTGGGTGGAGGCTGTATCGTCCTCTAGCAGGGTCTGGGTGGAGGCTGTGTCGTCCTCTAGCAGGGTCTGGGTGGAGGCTGTATCGTCCTCTAGCAGGGTCTGGGTGGAGGCTGTATCGTCCTCTAGCAGGGTCTGGGTGGAGGCTGTATCGTCCTCTAGCAGGGTCTGGGTGGAGGCTGTGTCGTCCTCTAGCAGGGTCTGGGTGGAGGCTGTATCGTCCTCTAGCAGGGTCTGGGTGGAGGCTGTATCGTCCTCTAGCAGGGTCTGGGTGGAGACTTTGCCATCCTCTAGCAGGGTCTGGGTGGCGGCGGCGCCGTCTTCTAGCAGGGGCTGGGTGGAGGCTGCTTTCGTGGTGCGACGGATCCTGTCAAACAGTGGGCACGAAAGTAATAATAAATATTTTTTTAGGGTAAAAAATTTCAAAATCTTACTAGCTTCTACCATTATTTTGCAAAGCTTTAACATCTCATTGCACAAATCCATAGTGATGTGTCAATGGCAATGTGATTATCATGTCACTTGATAAGAGAACTCGAAGACAAGATATGTACCAAGTTGATATTATTACCAGTCTTCCTTGAATCTGAATACAGTGCATGTAGCATACAACCGTTACCGTACAGAACCGAATGCTGACCTTTTCATCTCTCTTGTCTGGTGCCAGGTAATGCACAGGTCAGTTTTAGCAGACAAGAGGCTGGCGGCAGGGATACGGATCTGGTCCAACTTGACTGATTTTAGAGCTTCTTGCAGCTCTGTTCGAGGAAGTCGCTTCAGGAATTGGTGTCTGTCGGTTTGGTGTATAATCAATTCTACAAAGTCTGATATGATTTCTCATTTCGTAATGTTGACGGTGACATCCATGAGATCCAGACTGCAAAGATGTCATATATCCAAGGTCTAATGTTTTTTTTTTTTTTTTTGTAGACGTAACGTTCTTCGAAGCGCCCCATTAATATATTCGCGTAGGAGGAGGCCAGTTCCCATTACTGTGCCCTCGGCTTGTATGTAGTGATCACTGTTGAACTCGAAGATATAGAGGTTTTATATCCTGTCCAGTAGTTGGCAGATAGCTTCCGTGGGTGCGTCTGCTAGATCGTTCTATAGTGCTTTTATCCCTTCGTCAGTGGTGATGTAGGTGTAAAGGGAGTAGATATTCAGAGTGACGAGGATGCCATTCAGTGGAAACGCTGCATGCGTGAATTATGAACAATACAATTTAGAGGTTTGGTGTGGCGAATTGGGCGTCTCTCTCAACAAGAGTTTTGAGCAGTGGTGACTCATTACATTCATACATTTATTAGGCAACAAATCATTTTTCTGCATTGCCAACACGTTCAGATTTCGGATAGATGGATGCTTCTCTGTCTTCCAAATTTCAAGGCGACCTGGAATACATGCGTCGCCATCTCAGCTCTTTGTTCCCCTACAGATAATAAAAAAAGAAGAAAATACATTTTAAAATGGTGTGTACAAACTTTAAAGGCGTAATTACTAGTAAATACTAGTAAATAAGACTTCCGTCCCATGAAACTGAAGTATTAGGGTAAAGAAATATTTCAGGACGAATTCCTAAGTACATTTATGGCATTTGATTGAAATACAATATAATGCATAGTATTCAAAATTCAACATACTTCCCACCTGGTACCGCGGAGTTTGTTCAGGAAATCTACTTTTTATTGATACCTCCTGTTTGCAGGGCCACCCATGTCAATCCTAGTATTTTCACTTGAAGTAAAACAGTCCTCACCAAGTGACAACAGCTCTGCCTCTCCCACAGGTCTTGCATGGGAGTAGTTTTGATGGCAAGTACTGAAGAGTGAGAACAATCTGCTGTACTTGGTCTCCAGGTCTTTTGCCCGTGTGAACAGACCGATGGAGAAATCGTGCTCCATCATTAACTCCTCTGCTTTGTTAGCTGCAACAGAGGTCAGCTCTTTGATAGGAGCTTCCTGCAAAGAACAAGTACAATGTATTAAATAAATATTATTTGATAGTTATAGAACAGGGTCTTAAAATTTGTAAGGTGATAATTTAATTTCAGAGGTCAGGTGATAATTTAATTTCAGAGGTCAGGGTAGAAAAAAAACCCTACTTGAACATTTGTCTCATTTGGATCTTATTACATGGAATTCAAAGCTTCATGTAGAAATACTAGTAAGCCTAAATAGGAACTGTTCTAAATACCATCAGAATGGCATTCACGAATACTTGGGAGTGATATGCCTGTCGTTTAGCGTGATATCGTTGCAGTACCGGGTCTAGCAGCCTGGTCAATGGACCCTCTGATGTTTTCACTCCACCTCTGTCCCTAATCTCTTCATCAGCTTTCAATGTCTGCAGGGCAGT